GGAATTGTATTCTTATTTAAAGGAGAACTGGCTCACATTAAAAAAAATGATTTGGACTAGCAGATCTAAAAGGTCATATCTTTAACTTTAAAATTTCCTGGGCCTTTGCTGCCAGATCAGCTGGTAAAAGGGTTTGTGTTGGAAATGAGTGATTGGAGGGTAGTGTAGGGGAAGCGGTGAGTAGTTGTGTATGCCACAGTTAAGAGCTCAGACTTTTTTCTGTAAGTAGAATTATAGCTTTAGAGAAATGGAATAATACAATGAAAGTAGTACTTTAGGGAAGTAATTCTGGTAGCTTCTTAGTAGGTAAATTAAAGTAAAGATAAAAGGAAGCCAGAGACTGTTGAAGTGGTAAAAAAAAAAAAAAATAATCTAGACTTATTTTCTGGTAATAAAACTTAGAAAGTAAGTAATGCAAGAGACATTTGAGAAAAATACATGGGACTTGGTAACTAGAGATACATGACTTTAAGGTTTTGAACTTGAATCATTAGGAGAGTAGTAACTACTATATATAGTTCAAATAGGAACATGCTTCCAGGTAAACACATCGCAGTGTGATGATGCCCTACTGCCTATAGAAGAAGATGTGGACTCCTTGCATGGCATTCAAGGATTGTCACTATCTTGCTTGCCTTTCCATCTTTATTCTCTTCCACTCACTTGCCACTGCCTTGCTCAAAGTGCTAAAGATGTTATATGGTCAGGCTTCCAAACATCCAGAAGCTCTAGATGTCTGGTGTTTCTCTGATGTTCTGTACTCACACTTAGATGATCTGGAAGATTTATTTGGTACCTGCTTATCCTGAATTTAATAGTAAGAGAAAGGAAAAGAGAAGGAAAGTATTGTAAAGATACATGCCATGATAAGAAGATTCGCAAGTAGTCTTAAAGCTACAGCTTATAACAATTAAATATATATGACTTTCTTCTTTCCAGCACCTCAACTGATTGGATTTACTTGACCAAGGATGTGACCCTTTATTCAGAGAGGGCTAATCTTCTGGTGATGGGTCTTGTCTTCCTTATATAAGGCTGTAATAGTCTTGGGTTAAATTTTTGCTTGTCAAGCTTAGTATGTGATGGGGGGGGGGGTGGGTCTCTAAGTTCCAAAATACTGCTACCAATTAAATAGCAATATTCGTATTCTTCTTGATAGTCAGGGTCAGCCTACTGAGACAATGCTGTAAGCATCCCACTTTGTTCTCCTAGTGGTATGAGGAATCTAGAAGGGTCAGATGGCATTTAGTTTCCATTCAGTGGATTATTACATCCCCCAATAGAGAATAGTACTCAGCTTCTTTAGGTACTAAAACCACAGGAGAGTCCAAGTAGCAGTGAAGCAGAAATTTAAAACTATATTTTTAGGTGTAATCATGAGAGCTACCTCAACTACTTTTCACCCATTTATCCTATGTGTTCCAGCCTTGAGAAAGATCACCCATATATCCTGGTGGCTGTTTACAGCATGTACCTCATGCTGTAGGAGCATATACGTCACTCTGTAGGTGTTTTCTTCCAGCTGGTACCCTCTACAGCTATTCTCAACCTGTGGGTCGTGACTGCTTTGGGGGAGAGCGACCCTTTCACAGGGTCGCCTAACCCATTCCTGTATATCAGATATTTACATTACGATTCATAACAGTAGCAAAATTATAGTTATGAAGTAGCAATGCAAATAATTTTATGGTTGGGGGGGTCACCACAACATGAAGAACTGTGTTAAAGGGTTGTGGCATTAGGAAGGTTGAGAACCACTGCTCCTCCAATTGCTAAATTTTATGGCACTGATAAAAAATCAGTTTAGTAGGTCATCATTTAAAAGACCACTTAACTTTTCCAGATGATTTGAGTATGTGTTAAGATCAGTAGATGCTTTAGACAGAGCCTTTTGCTTTACATCTTGCCTTATGAAGGAAATTCTTTGATTAGAGACAGTGTTGTGTGGGCATCTGGGTAATACACAACCAAATCTTTTCCCTTCCCATTGATGGATGGGTTCCAATGTAATAAACATTTTAACAGAATATGCCATCTTTGGGGTCCAGGGTTTGCCACTGAGGGTCCTGGCAATTAGCATATTGTAAACCTATATATTGTTCTTGTCCTTATGAAACTCACTGATAAATAATAAGCCCTAGCACTTATGGATACTTTTACTATATTGATTTAGATGTATCATTACTGACTGTAGATAATGTGAAATATCACTCTATAAATTGCCTGTTGTTTTTTCAGTATCTGAAGAGAATAAATTTATACTACATTTTATTTATTTTAAGTGTGAATGGAGTCGCAGTGACAAAAAGTGCTATTACTAATATTTTTATATAACTACAGATATTGAACTAATTTGACATTTGTTTTATACTTATAGCAAGGAATTTACGACCAGAATTGTAGCCCAATATTTCTGAATACAAAAGATCTTAACAGCTTGAGGTGTAACAAATTGTACTCAGTATTCTAGGAAGGAGATTATAAATTAGAAAGTATTAAAATAGTATTAAGATAGGAATAATGAGTTATAATCATGATCTTCTCTAAAGAAAAGGCTAATATGTTATTTATCTGATAAAAGTTAAAACTTGGTTTTAAAAAATGTGTAATTTGTTAAAACTTTTGTATTAGGTTTATTTAAAATGATAAACACTTAGATCTAACCTACATGCTTAATGATAGTTAATAGTTTTCTTTTAAAGTAATAACAAGTTTAAATTTTTTTACAGTGATTAATTTTTAAAAGTATAACATATTGCAATTCAAAACATTAGAATAGAGAATAATTACTAATATACTATTTTAGTCATTTATAAAATGGAAATGAGAGGAACATTAATAAAGAAAATGTTACATTTTTGGCACATGTTCCTTTCTTACAAAGAAGGCCTTTTAAAAATAATTATTTTTGGTTAGTGACTTAAATACATGAGACTAATGAATATTTTTGGGTAATGTTTTAGGCCTTGCTAATCCAAGAGTCAAGATGGAAATTACCGCACCTACTACAGTTGCCTGAGAATTACAACACCATTTTTCAGTACTACCATAGAAAAACCTGTAGTGTCTGCACCAAGGTTCCTAAAGATCCTGCTGTTTGCCTTGTTTGCGGTACTTTTGTATGCCTAAAAGGACTTTGCTGCAAGCAACAAAGTTACTGTGAATGCGTATTGGTAAGCAATAGTAAATAACACAAAGTTCATGAAAACTCACATCTCTTATTACATGGAAATGTAGTATATATCACAACGCCAGCTCTTCAAATTCAACTACTCTTTGAATTAAATATATAGTACATATAGGGATTGTGTTTTGTTTTTGCTTTTGTTATTGTAATTCAGCAGAAGGGTTTAAAAAAAAGTCTGTTGAGGTTTCTCCTACTGACCTTTCCTGACATACTTTTAAATGTGCTGTAAAACAACAGTCTTCTGTGCTGTTTGGGATGTTAGCCTCTGAATTAGGTTGGCTCTTAATTGCTTTCCTAGTTAATCCTTACCCAAATCCCTCCTAATCTATTAATATTAAAGTATTGGGGATAGGGTTATAAGTTTAACTTAGATGTAATCATATTAAAAATTTAAAGAAGGAATTTAATGAAGACATTCTTGATTTTGTTGTAAAGCTCCTTTGATCATGAAGTTCATTGACATATTTTTGACTTTTTAGCATTCTCAGAACTGTGGTGCTGGAACAGGAATTTTCCTTTTGATCAATGCATCAGTAATTATCATCATTAGAGGTCACCGCTTCTGCCTTTGGGGTTCTGTATATTTGGATGCTCATGGAGAGGAAGACCGGGATCTCAGGTTAGTTATAAATGTGTATCCAGGTGTTTTATTGAAGTTTGGTTAGTAAAAACCAGTGTCATTCCTGGCTTTGTAATTATAATATTTTTAATATTAAGTTCTAGTAGTCGTTTTGAGGTAGTCTTCCTATCAACATCCTGAGAAAACATGAAATAAACCAAATTACTCTGTCACATTTTTGCCACAAAGAATTTATTAAAAAAAGAAATGCCTGTGGAATCTTTTCAGTATTGTTATTTTTAATACTTTTTTTTCTTTTTATTCTAGGCGAGGCAAACCTCTCTACATTTGTAAGGAAAGATACAAAGTTCTTGAGCAACAGTGGATTTCTCATACTTTTGATCACATCAATAAAAGATGGGGTCCACATTACAATGGGCTGTGATTCACCACCTCAGCATTGCATTATATCATCATTTTCATTAAGGATTTATTTTGTCAACAATAAGCTTTAATTTAATTTGGGGGATTAGTGCTTTTACTGAGGGAGAAAAAGAAAAAAAAAAACATGATGAAGCCTTTCCAAAATTAGGTGCTTGGTAATCACGTTAATGGTATAATAATTTTTTTTTTAAGTATATGAAGAACTTAACAAATAACAAGTTAAATTATTCCTTAGTGGTCATTTTTTTAAGTGCACAATAAATAAGCACAACGTGTTCACAAAATCATTCAGAAGTGATTCTCCCCCAAATGCATATCGGCTATTCATTGATACTTAGAGTGGGTGTGATTTATTTGAAGTTTTACTGCCTCTTTCCTGTGTGTTTTAATTTGCATCTACTAAGCATAATGCATCTTTTTCCTCTCTCATTCTCTCATTCTTGTGTTGATTTGAGAATTTTGCTGTATGTAATTAGAAAAAATGTAAAACATGATTTTTGTGAAATATTGTATAGTAAAAGTTGGTCTAATAGTAGAACTGTAAAATTTTTCTTATTGTGAAGAATATGTTAAAAGTTTAAAGCTTTGCTGAAAACTTAATTCATTCTCAGGAATTTCATAAATGTTCTCCCCAGGTAAATAATTGAAATAGCTGTAAAATAAGTAGATAGCTGCTGTTAATATAGTAGAGTACATTTGGGGGGGGGACTTATGTATTGGTGGGGAGTCCTTAAAAATAAAAACTTGCCATTTCAATTGGATGAATTACTAAAGTGGTAAAAAAATAGATTTATCTATAAAATCAAAAGACTTAAGAACATACTCATGGCAGATTTTGTGCATGCCCGCCTTTTATTAACAACCAAGTTTTTGTTGATGATTGGCTTAGAAACGCTCAGACTTCCCTACAAATGCATCATAAGTTTTTGAACTTTATTGTCAATTCAAGAGGTTCAGCTATACTGCATTTGTGCAGTGTAATCACTGCTATTTCAACTTAGTTTCCTAAAAGGGGGAAAGGCTCAGTGGTGATGGCCCTCATGAATGAACCATGTGTCTGTGTTCTTCTCAGAATCTGCTGTGAAAAGCAATTTTTGTTTGCAGGGTTTTAAATCAGTAAGAATTGGAATGATTAAACTAATATCCACTTTCTTAAGTAGGGAAGGAAGATTATAGAAAAGCATGTTATATATTGCTACCAAGGTTTTTTCCCCAGATGATTCAGTAATTTGATGATTATTTCATGTATAGTGCTATCAAGCAATCCTGGTACTTTGGACTTCCATGGCTTGTTATATAAAATTACATTTTTACGTGTAAAAATAAACTTTAAAAAATCTAATGAAAAATGTAAAAATAACATCAGACCTGTGTTCTAAAATTTTTTGTAATACCATATTACAGAATGTGAAAGTGAACATTAAATGATGGCCTTGCATTAAAATAGGGAAAACAGAGCAGTACATACTCAAATATGTTCAAAAAGTCAAAAAATTACCTATAGGTCTACAATAAAATACCTGGAAATAGCTTGCTATTTTTATATACATTTCCAAATTATTAAGATAACTTTCTGTAAGACTAGAATGATTCTGTTGGACTAAATAGCTGTCCTTTAAACCAACACATTGCTACTTTTTTAAATACTGTATCATAAGTTCAGCCTGTCATGTTTTTTGCATTGATCATTATGAATACCAGACCATTTGTACGTGTGGTTGAAGAGCAAAATACTAATTTACATCTCTAGTAAATACTGTTACAGGATTCATGAACTTGAGTAATTCTACAGTATGAAATTCTGATGTTATATATACACATGATATAATGTATTCAGACTTTGGTTACTACTTATTTAAAATGGAATGTTTTATGGTTGTGCATATGGATGTGAAGTGAAAATATTAGCCTTAACTTTAAAATTTGGATATTTGATAGTGTTTATTTTGATATTGGTGAATTAGTCACCAGTAAATTTTAAAAAAGCACTTGGTTGAAAAATGTACTTGAATACATACATGCATGCTGCTAAACTAGAACTTTAATTTTTTTCCCATAACTTTTATAAGTCCCATTTATAAACCCACTTTTAAAAATTACAGGTCCAAGTTAGAGTGATGTGTGTATATTATTCAAAAAAATGTACTGGTGTGATATCTTGTATGAATGATCATTTAAATACAGTACATTACTGTAGAAGCTAAATCAATCTTTATAATTAAGCAGAAATTACAAAACTAGGAATAATCAACATTGTAAGATATGTTAATAAAAACCTACCGTCATTTGGTTGTGAAAGGTCCTTAAAATGTTTAATGCTTACATGGTTTTTTTCAAAGATATTAACAGTAATATGTATTAATGAGCATGGCTAAAAGATCAAACTATAAGTAGTAGTTGCTTTAAGGTAAAATAGGTCGAAAACCGTTGCCTTTTATTTGCAGAGCTAGTTCCTGTTTTTCTCTGTCTTTGTCTCATAACTCATGCAAAGCAGTTGCTAAGTGTTTTTTTTTTGTTTGTTTGTTTTTGGTTAGGGGGAGAAGGAACTGGTTGTGTAGATCTGAGAAATACTGTTATGGTCTCTGCTCTTTTCTGAAAGTTTCTAACTAGACTTCAAAAATTGAAAAGTGCTTTATGATAATATCTATTTTAAACTGTGGTCTTGTTTGAATTGACAGTCCTCACCCTTACTCCTCTTTCCCTCCATCCTGAAGCTCACCAGCCATTTATCAGCTAGCAATTCCATTCCATTCATTTTCCTTCTATTTTCTGTATTGTGTTATTTATTGATTTCTGTGACTTAGAAAAGACACTGAAAACTCAGAGGTAACAATAGTATGGGAGGATATGAGGCCTAAGACTCTCTGTTGGCTTTTATTTAGAGGTCATATTGGGAAAGAAGAAAACAAAAAGCCTGATTTTGGCCAGGCCAGATGGCTCACACCTGTAATCCAAGCTTCCTAGAAAGCTGAAGTGGGTGGCTCACCTGAGCTCAGGAGTTTGAGATCAGCCTGCAAGACCCCATCATCAGCAAGACCCCATCTCTACTGAAGAAACAGAAAAATTACCCAAGCTTTGTGGCTGGTGCCTATAGTCCCAGCTACTTAGGAGGCTGAGGCAAGAGTTTGTGCTTGAGTCCAAGAGTTGGAGGTTGCTGTGAACAACAGAACTGTATCCAAGGTAACAGAGTTAGACTCTGTCTCAAAACAAAAGCAGAAAGCTTGATTTTAACCACTAGAATCAAATCACCATGGCAATGTTCATTTACTGATGGGTATCCCTGATAGTTGACTTTTGAGGGACAGAGGACAATTTGTGACTATTTCTCATTCCCACTCTCAGCCCAAGTTCTTTCCTTGCCTTATGATCTGGGAAGACAATGTTAAGCACTACTTAGTTCAGATGAGCTGGAGTGGACAGGATGACTTCAGGATCACTTCTTTGTTTATGATGCTTCAAGCTCCCTCTTCATGGGGGATATCAAATATGGAAGAGCTATTACCTCCTATCTTAGCATATAGTAGTCAGCTAGTGATGGAATGATTGTGACTCATCTGATACAACATAATGAATAGGTGCAGTTACTTTGTGTTGATCTGCCTTTATGAGTTAAATTAATGAAAGATGTGACAATACCAAACTGATGAGGCAGAGCACAAGACCAGGAAGAGTGGGGTCAAGTGCATAGATACAGGTTTTGGCTTAAGGGGAAAGACAAGATGCAAGAGAAAAGAAAGGTCTGGAGTAAAATAAGAGGATTTATATGATTCCCTCTTGGTGACAGAGGAGCAGGGTATGAACAGGTTTAGCATATCTTGGGCTTAAATAAGTGGTAAAAGTTTAGACGTATACTCAGAGAACAGAGAAGAAATAAAGATAAGACAGACACTGTCTGCTTATGGGTCTGTACAGTGTTTTCAATCTTTTGTATCTCATAGCACACTTGAACCTATAGTTAAACTTCCATAGCACACTTATGTTGATCAAAAGATAAAGTAAAAAAGTAAATATACTTCGCTTTGAACTTCTTTTGAAAATAATTTAATTAATCTTTTAAAAATTTTGCAGCACAACCTAAGATCCTTTCATGGCACACCAGTTGAAAATCACTGGTCTCATGGAAAACAACACTGGTGATATGATTATAGGTCAGCTGAATGTTATCAGCAAGTTAGGCTTTGAACACCAGTGGACTCATTTAATTTGGGGAAGTTAATGGAAGCCTACGTTGAAGAAGTGTTGTTTAAGCTAAAACAAGAGAAAAGGGTAGCGGTGAGTTAAGTGAAGGCAGGAATGGAGGAGGGTTGGGTTGGGTTGCCTAAAAGATGCAACCCACAGACCCCAAAATTAGAATAAGATAGTTGCGCTCAAGAAACTGAAGAAGTGCAGTGCAGTTGAACTCAGGAAACTGAAGTGCAGTATGGTCGAAGGATAGAAAACAGAGAATGTTGCAAGAGATGATACAGAAAAGATAGGCAGGAATCAGATCATGGCTTCCTGAACCATTGTGGATTTTGGTCTTTATGGTTGTGGCCTCAGTTTAGAGCAGAGGTCAGCAAACCTTTTCTAGAAAAGGACCAGATGGTTTCTGTCACAGCTGTTCAACTCTGCCATTGTAATGCAAAAGCAACATAGGCACATAAAAATGAATGGACATGTCTGTATTCTAATCAAGCTTAATTTATAAAAGCAGGCTGCAGGCTGTAGTTTGCCAACTCTTGGTGTAGAGAATGAGAGGAGGAGAACAGGCAGATTTGGAAAAGCCATTGAGGAGGGCAATTCACTAGCCAGTGGAGAAATGAAAATAGCTTATACTATGGCAGTGAAAGAAACCACTTAACTTCTGGCCTCATGGTTGGTGGTAGTATTTCACGAGTTAGGAAGCAGTAGAGAAGGATCAGGTATAAAGTTGAGAGTGATGTGTACAGACTTTTTCATGTTGAGTGTGAAGGTATGTGACAATTGATGGATTTGAAAGGTAGGCATTCAGGATGAAGTTTTGGGTGAAGTTCTAGACTGGGGAGTCATCACCTACAAATTGTAATTTAGAGGAATGGATACCATCCAGGGATAAGAGGGCCTGTGGTAGCATCTTCAGAGGACAAGCAGAAGATGGTGAGCCAAAGGATAAGATTGATAAAGAGGGCAGTAGCTAGGAAAGGAGGAAAATGGGAAAGGCAGTTATTAGATTTTGTGATAGAGGAAGCAACTGGTATCCTTGATGAGGGCAATTTTGGTGAAGTGGTAGGAGCAGAACCAGAATATAGCTCTTGGAGGTAAGTAGAAAACTTTCACAGTAAAGTTTTTTTGAAAATAATTTAATTAATCTTTTAAAAATTTTGCAGCACAACCTAAGATCAACCTGTGTGATCCTTACACAGCAATAGAAAACCAATCACTTAATCTGCTATTACTGGAAAACAGAAATGTCTATGTTCATTTAATCACCACATTAGCCACTGTCTCCA